CCTTAAATAATTTATAAAATATTGTAAAGTATTAGATAGCATTCAATATTTTATGGGAATTTAGCATTAGTACATTTATTTCTAGATACCCTTTACTAAGTGTTATCCTGTTAGTAGCAGAAATACTGGGTGTAGATACCTTTGATTATTCTATGATAGAGAAATTCAATAAAAGGGATAAGTAATATCACAACAATTTCTAAAATGCATGATACAAAAGCAGAAGAAAATGGCAACAATAGTAGAAACCTGTCCGAGTTAGGGAAACAGCTGATATAAAAGACATTTTTATATAGAAAATAAAATTTTTAGTTCAGACTCAGGCAAATTGTGGATCTTACCAATTGTTTTTTTTTTATTATAATACAAGCAACTACTACATGCTGGGGAAATCTTTTGTCACGGAAGGCTGAAATTATCCATGTTATGGCTATAAAATATTATTTTTTCCTATATCAAGATGCTTTCTGGTGAAAATTTTTTAAAGTAGTCCACATGGAGACACAAAGCTGAAGACACAAATCATATTAGTTATAAACTATCTCCATCTTATAACCCATTAAATACACCATTTATGTGACTTTTAGAGTCACACATTTCCTCATAACTCCTTACATTGCAGTTTTATTTACAAGTAAAAAAAATATAGTCTTGTACAGAAGTGCATGCTCCAAGAAGCATTTTATAGTTAAGGACATGCAGCTTCTAGCAATAAAAATACTATGAGTAAGTTTAACAAGCCACTCATCAGAGGTTTGGATGTGGTCATACATTTTTCTAGAAGGCATGGGTGGTTGAGATCGACTTGTTTGCATGTATACTGTTGGAACGTTTCTCTTCTTGACTCCCCTGGTATAGTGGGAAATTATAACAGTATAATTGTAAGCGCCTGTGGACTAAAGTATTCAAGAATATTAATACATTTTGAAGTAAAGGGAGTTATTTTCAGATAAAAGAGGTACAAAAATTTTAAGAGTAAAATCAGATATCATTCCCAATGTCGGTAAGATTTGCAGTGTTTTATATAATGCTTATCCTCATTCCATCTTTTTCTATCTTTATTTCCTACAAAACCTTGTCTTTATTTCAGAGTTGGCTCCTTGAAATTCCCAAAACAGTAGTGAATCTCCAGGCCTTTGCCATCCATGTCTTTGTACATGCTATTTTTTTCAGGTTTCATTTATTCTTCCAGAGACACTGAAGTGTTCCTTCATGAATGACGTCTTACCACACACTCCTTTCCTCAAACTGAGTTGTTTATTCTTCTCTTGATTAGCTACTATTATTTTTGAACACACGTCTAGCAATTATTCCTGGACATATTGATTTATCACACAAAAGTAAGTACTATTTTTATACTAATAGGCATTACTTATAATAACATATATACTAGTAAAAGGAAATGTTGTATTTTATGAATAATTAAATACAAAACCAATAGGGATAAGTACTATCAAAAATAAAATAAAATAAATAGACTTTACTTTAAATTTTTTAAAATTTTATTTTAAAGGCTTGCAATATAGCTCAGCAGTAGAGTACTTGACTGGCATGTGTAGAGCCCTAGATTTGATTCTGACCACCACAATAAAAAAATGAAATTCATTTTTGCATGCAAAAATGAAGCTTGGAAGCCAGAAAACACAGAAATTTTAAGAAACATCTCTCTGAGAAGATACAAAGCAGTAATTAAAGTGTAAATGCAAATTTTTTGCTGTTTATGATTGTTTATTATATGCAGAATTCTTTTTAAGGCAAGCAAAGCTGTTTAAGTTCATTTGTCCATAGCTGGTTATTGTATGTGCTGAATCAGGCTAACAATGGCATAAAACTTACATTTGTGCTTTGTTATGAGCAGAGCTACTATTTCAGGAAAATCAGCACAACTTAAATTTTGGCTGCATAGCTATGGGCAGTTGTCATTTGGATATCTAAACCATGACTTCATTTTTTTTGTTTTCTGTTTAACAGTACTTCATAGTGCTTGCTAAATTTAAAAGAATCATTAAATAACAAAATGTACCTATTGTGAGCTGGTGTAGATTATTCTACACCTTTAGGAATGGGCAAAACTAGAATTACAGGATTAATGTGTGATCCTAATATCACAATAGTTTGCCAATACTTACAGAGAATTTCAGGGATATATTTTATCCTCTTGAAAGAACATTCAAAGAACAGTGGGGATTTTCTCATGAAATTACAGGATTTCAAGGAGTTAAAAATTTACTGCAGTTAGAGAATTATGGACTAGAGTAGTATTTAGATTCAAAGACTGTGAAACATTATTCTTCCTAATTTCATTAAATTATATAAATTAAAGACAAGTGGAAGAGGCTAGCTGCTTTAAGCGAGATATCTTCTCGAACGGTTATGTATTTAATAATTTCAACATTGAAAACAGGGACATCACTACATAGGTATGATATGAAGCCAAATTCATGGCCTACAAATGCTACACCCTTGGCATCTACATGACAAACATGAAGATTCCCCCCAACACACACCTTTACACATTCAACTTGTATTCACCTTGGTGGAAAAGCCACCTACTTTACCTACTATGCTTTAGCTCACACTCATCACCATTATGTAGATTATCAAGATCAAAACAATTTGTTTTTCTCCTCTACATAATTATAATTCTATATCCACTAAGAAACAATACTTTTTACAGCGGAAGGAGAGATGAGTTTAATAGTATGAGAGCATGTAGTTCTTCCCCAAAAAGCACCATAAAATGAGTGGCTATCTTCAGTCAGAACATTATTATTTAGTCAAATTCTTCACAAATGGTACTTTGCAACTTGTCAGAAGACCAGTTATGTTAGCATAAAATCCAGTACGTTAGAGTTGCTGGGAACTTAGGCAGCAGCAACTTGAGCAGTATTAGAATTAAAGTATAAGTGTGTAACAACATTTTCCCCAGAATTTTCAATGGTTCTGAAAGAGAAATTCTACTGGAAACCACATGCGCAGGGAATCTGCTCTGGGAAAGAGAATGTGCAGAAGAGATAAGACATGCCTCTTTTGTGCTACTTAGCAAAGTAGAACAGCAAGAACATTAGAGAACAGTAAGGGTACAATGCACAACGGTGCATTGTACAAAGGTGGAAAATGCACCAAGAGTAAAAAGTCACTAATTTTGAACAGATGACAAAAAATCTGTATAACATTTTGTATTATTTTAAGAAATGAAATATTAAGTATACAGTGATTAAGAAAAGGACAACATGAAGAGACAAAAGAAGGGTTTTATGAAGGCAGCCAGATGAGAAAAAACAGAGTGAAACAATGAAAATGCTATAGTAATGCATGCTTTCAAATCGCAATGCAATTACACTTGAAATTGAATTATATATATATATATATATATATGTGTGTGTGTGTGTGTGTGTGTGTGTGTGTGTGTGATCTTGGAAAAACTTAAATATTATTTTCTTGTGAGTTAAACATGCTTATGAAATAAGTCAAATGAGTAATAACAATATTTTGCACAAAATATTTACGATTAATATTTTAATCTAAATAACTTTCATATTTCTGATTTTAAGTAATCAGATGATATTTGTTTTCCCTAAATTTTTATGTTACAGTATACCTTCCATGAGTATGGTCTTCTTGGATTTATATAAAATTCAACAATGAGTTATGAATTTAAACTATTAACTACTCATAAATTGTTGCCAAATGAATGTGATTTGCTTTGAAACCTCTAACACATAGAGCTGTTTTCTCTCCCTCTCTATTTCTCCTTCTCCCCCTCTCCCTCTCCAAGAGAGAAAGCGGGGAGTCTGGCAGAAAAGGGAAAGTCGAGAAACGTAATGGGGAGTGGAAGTGATGGAAATGTGTCACATGCACGTATGAATATGCCAAAATGCGGCCCAAATGAAACTGTTCATAAGGAACGTGTATAAGTAATCAGAATCATTAGGACACAGTGTAAGCAGCATTTAAAGGGAAATGTATAGGACTGGATACATATATATTAGAAGAGAAAGTAGATACAATATTCTTAGCTACTTTCTTGACACTGAGACAAAAATACCCAACATCCAAAACTGCAGAGAGAAAAGCTTTAGTGTCACTTACAGTTTGCAGGGCTTTCAGTGAATAGTGGGCTGGCTCCCTAGCAGGATGGCATGGCTGAGGAGAAACAGCACAGGGCAGGGCAGCAGAAACCACAGCTAGATCAAGGGAGGAGGGAAGTAGAGAGTCCCTTCCAGCCCATGCGCCCAGCGACGCATTTCTGACTAGGCTTCATTATCCACCATCACATTTAGCTTTGAACTCATCTGTGGACTAAGCCAGTGATGAAAGTCACACCCCGATGATCCAGTCACTCCCAAAAGCTCAACCATGAGGCAAGAGGCACAGTGGGGACATCTGGATGTAAACCATTACAGGTATATATGATTTAAGAAAGACAGCTTCTTAGGAAACAAAGAAAAAGAGAGAAATTGAATCAAAATAAACAGAAGAAAATAACAAAAATTAGAGTAGAAATCAATGGAATGGTAAGTCAAAAATTAATAGATAATATCAAAATTAGAAGGTTTGGGCTGGGAATTGGCTCAGTGGTTCCACCACCCACCTTGTAAGCACAAGGACCCGAGTTTGATACCCGGTACAAAAAAATAAAAAATAAAAAAAATAGAAGGTAGTTCTTTAAAGGGTCAATGAAGTTTGTAATTCTCTAACCAGGAGCTAAGAAAACATAAAGAAGATTCAAATTACAGATATCTGAAATAAAAGAGTGGGCATCATTACAGGACTCAATAAAATTAAATACTACAATTATGTGCCCATACATTTGATAACATAGGTTAGATGAACCAATTTGTTGAAGCACAGGCTTCCAAAATCTACCCACCAAAAAAAAAAAAAAAAAAAATCTAAATTGGCTTATGTTTATTAACAAAATCAAATCAATGTTTAATAAATTCAGAAAAATGAAAACACTATGCTCAAAAGAGTTCCCTGGTCAATTGAATACTTACGACAGAAGTTTTATCAATTAAATCCAATGTCCTTTTCAATGCAGAAGCAGAAGGAGTTAAGGCTTTCTACAGCCAGCCTCTTTCTAATTCCAAAATGAGTCAAAGACTCTGTAAGAAAGAAAAAATGGTAGCTGAGTTTCTCACAGCAATGTAGATTTTAAAATCCTCATCAAAATATTGATAAGTTAATTCACCAAAATATAAAAATGAATTATACACCATGAAACAAGCCGAATCTACTCTAAGTATGCAAACTTGGCTCACCAGTGGACCAGCAATATTTTGGCAAATGAGCAAAGAGAAAAGAGAAAAAAATCCTATTACTTTTAAAATGCTTTGGGGGCAATCCAACACTCTAATAGAAATCAAGAGAACTTTTTCAATCTTACAAGAAAATTTTTAAAAAGTAGAATGGCATACTTAATATTAAGAAACTTTTATTTATTTCTAAGATCAGAAATAAAGTAAATATATCTCCTGTTACTACTACTTTCAAACATCTTACAAGAACTCTTAGATGATTTAATATGATGGGAAAAATTAAAGAACAAAACTGTAGTAAGAAATACAACTATTTGTATGTAGATAATATGGTTATCTTTGCATCAATGCAAAAGAATTGACAAATCCCTCTATTTTGTGAAGTATTATTCCACAGTTGCAGAAAAGAAAGGTAATACGCAAAACTCATTCATTTTCCTATGCAGGAACAATAAACAAGCAGAAGTTGAATTTTAAAACAGAATTCCATGTTATCATCCTCAAAGGTTTTTTTAAAGCTCATATGAAGAAAATTACAAAATTCTGATAAAAGACATTAAGCAACTAAATATATTGTGATATGTTTCACTTTCATGAAGAAAAATATTTAAAACTGTCTGGACATCAGTGTTTTTCAAATTTCATTCATAGTTTCAATTCAGTATCACTCAAAATTTACCATGTTATTCTGTGAGCAACACAAAAATTGATTCTAAGCTTCCTATGAAAAGTAGAAGACCGAAATAACCAGTGCAATAGTGGAGAGGAAGAAAGAAGCGATTTTTCCTGACTTTAGAGATTGTTACAATGCTACTGTGGTGAAGACAGTCTGGTTGCATGAAACAATAAACAAATAAATCAGTGAAGCACAATACAGTTCTCAGCAATAGATCCATATTTAAAAAGTCAATTGATCCATGATAAAGGTCAAAGACAATCCCTTGGAGAAAAAAAATTCTCATTTCAATAAATGGCTCTGGAACATGTGGCTATCAGCACATAATAAAAAGAAAAACATAAAGAGACACAGACTTGAACGTCTCACAAAACAAATTCAAAATTGGTTATAAACCTAAATGTGAAATGCAAAACTGTAAGGCTCCTAGAAGATTACACAAAATCAAATCCAGATGACTTTGGTTTTGACAACGACTTAGTTACAGTAACAGACATGACTGATGAAAGATGTAATTAAAAAACGAGGCTTAATTTACACGAAAAATTTTGACAATGTCATGAGAACAAGACAAGCTATAGATTGGAAAAAACATTTGCATAAGACATATTTGACTTGTTTCTGATCCATACATATAAGGACTCTAAAAGTGAACAATAAAAGAACAAATGATCTGATTAAAAAATAAGGAATTAGGGCCAGCCCTGTTTGGGGTGCATGTGTGTAATTCCCATTGCTCTGATAGACTGAGGTACAAGGATCTCAAATTTGAGCTCAACCTGGGTTCTACTTAGCAAATTAGTGAGACATGGTTTTAGAAATAAAAATAAAATAAGGCTGGAAATATAGCTCGCTGAAAAGATCCTGAGTCAATCTTTACAATCACAAAGAAGAGAAAATTGCCAACAATCTGAAAACACCCTTTACCAAATAAGAAACACAGATGAGAAATAAGAAGCAAATGAGCATGAAAAAGATATTCAAGATCACACTTCAATAGAGAAGCGGAAAGTAAACCACACTGATAGTATTATAGACTTATTAGAACTGTGAAATTTCAAATGACTGACAAGATGAAATACCAACGAAGCTATGAAGTGGCACTGAGTTTTATTTTGTGTTCGAATACAAGCTGTATAGCCGCACTGAAGGACGGTTTGGCAGTTTCTCCCAAAAGTAAAGCTATTCTTACTGAAATTAGTCAGCAGAGAAATTATTCTGACTGTGGAATATGTAGAACTCTGGAATTGAAAATAAAGGACACTAAAAGTATCAGCAGACACCAGAGTTGACAGAGAGAGAGAGAGAGAGAGAGAGAGAGAGAGAGAGGGAGATAAGACAATCAAAAGCATTATTAGGGCAGTAAAATCATCTTGTACGGTAAATCAGTGATTCATAAATATCATTTCAGGGCCAGGGATTTAGCTCAGCGGTTCGGTGGGCTGCCTTGCAAGCACAAGGACCTGAGTTCAATCCCCAGTACCAATAAATTAAAAAATAAATAAATAAATATCATTTCATACAGAGGACACCAAAAATGTATACAAATGTCAGGAAAAGAAAAAAATTCTGTAAATATGTAATACTAAATTTATTGAGACCTTGTGAGATTAATACAAGTTACCTTTGGCCTCTACAATTACAAGAGGCACTCAAAGTGTGGCCACGAGCTTCCAGACGTTCATTAGTATGGCATACTGCTGCTTGGTTAACCTTGGGCTGCACCTGCATTTTCAATTTCTTCTCTAAGGGTCAGCAGGGTAGTAGGTTTTCTGTGATATATGATATCCTCCAGGGTCTGCCATATGAGGGTGACACCATCTGCTGAAAAAACATCATGTTATTTTTCTTTGCCTGAAGTGTGTATACATTTCTCATTGGATTCTGTACTTGTCAAACCTGTATTAGGTACAACATTAAGTCCATGCACTGTGGATTTTGGTGCTGGTATACGGAAGCACATTGGTAAGCAGTAACAGCTGTGCTCTCTAGTACTCCCTACCCTGAACATACGGGTCCTGGTTCATTACGGAAGCTGGAAGGGAACCACACACAGGAGTCCTTACACCAGTTAGACTGTTTATGCTGACTTTGTACATCCTGGAGTTAAAATTCATTTACTGCCAGTCAGAACTACTATCCTAGTCATCCTAAAATAACGGAATCAGTTCCTGCACTTCAGTTATCAAAATGATGTAAATGTTCTACCTATTTTTGATGCACAATTGATATCAATTGATTAAACAGAAACACACAGCTAATATTTCATGGCAGAGGAAGGTCACATTTTCCTTGACTAACAAATTTCATTATTTTAATACAGTTTGATATCTTAGGTGAATAAATATTTTGAAAAGCTCAGGATGAGGTTGTGTAATTATGCATAGCCACCTGCTCTGAGTCATATATTTAGTTTAGATCACTAAGCCTACAGATTTACAGTTTTTTTTTTCATTTGGAATATGAATTCTGGCCTGAATTTGTCACATAATTCCTAAGTAGTTTTATAGACAGAACAGCCAGAATCACCATCCAAATCACTAGAGCCAGGCCCTAGTTGAAATGGAAACTAATTTTTCTAAGTTATTCTGGTATTTATAGAATATCTGGTCCAGTCATGCAGTCTGTATAATAATATAGTAAAATGAAGAAAACAACTATATTCTGTTTTAACTTATTGGCATTCCCATGTACAATTTCACTTTTAATATTTTATAGAGGTGAAAGAATATTTCTTCAAACTAGAGAAATTAAGCTTAAGAAAAACATGAACATAAATATAAATTAAGATTTTATTGTTCGGTCTAAAAACATCAGTAAATCTTGAAATTAATTTCTTTTGGAAATAAATGATTGGCTAGAAAGTATTCTTTGTAATATAATTTATGCAGATAATGTGCCTACATAGATGCAGATAATATCCATGTGAATACTTCTAGTTTTAAAATTCCTCCATTTTGCATAAAAAATAAGCCTTATGGCATAGAATGTAACTTTATTTAATTGAAATAGTTCCTTGCTTATCTTCATTTTCTCCAAATCATTAATTCCAAAATTTCAGAAATCAAGGAATTTCTATTTCTACTCTCTTGAATGTTGATGCTTATATTTCAATATTGTCTAAAATCTTATTTCAGAGATAAGACATTTTAACTGAACCTATAAGGAAGGTGAGGTAAGGTGATGATTTCTTTCAGGAATATTACAGAAAACAGTGAAATATGTAACATTCTTAGTTTCTATGAAAGCTGAACTATCCCTCTTTTGGTCAAATATACTCAATCTGTTTTCAAATAGCAGCATAAACAAGTTGGTTTCTACTTTAAAGCCACCAGGATAACCATAATCTTTCATTTCAGTGCAGTCTGTGTTAAATCTTAATGCCATCTGTAACTGTTTTCAGAGCAGAAATGTCAGTGTTATTTGTTCTCATTCAGCCCCTCCCTGCACTGCAGTGTTATCTGTGAGTGATGCGCATCCGTGTAGCCCGGGATATTGTAGTTAGATGTAGCCCTGTGGCAAAGAGGTAATCGTATTGATTTTTCACTACTGCAGCAAACATTCCCATGTCCAACTGCTAGGCTTTGGCAAAAATAAATAAAACCACAACTATCAGATCTGCCATTGAAGCAAGATTTCAAGTGTGTCCCAATCACCTGCTGCAAGGTCATTTCAGACAAGACTGCCCTCCTAAGTAGGATGCAATGGACAAAATTTGTAGCTCCCCAAGCTATTCATTGACTGGTTCTTCTGAGAGGCTATTGTTTTCCTGACTATATTGATAGGTGTGAACACAAAATACTCAGGAATAACTCGCCTTATAAATCAATATATTCTGTAATCAATATGCTTACTACTCTGTGTGTAAAATGGGATTAATAAGTGGTAATAAGGAAATTGTGTCAGCATTCTAAAATAACAAAAATGTTTTAAATAATTCAATAGACATGAATTTTACAAAAAGAAGGGCTCTTAATGTTTTCAAAAGGGCTTGTTTTGAATACAATTAGTGCAAAAATATTTTATCTCTTGAAACTAAATATTTTGTTTTGTTTTGTTTCCCTTGTATTATTGATATCATGTTCAAAATTATAGTCGACAAAATTAGCTAATTACACTTGGACTGGAAATTATAAGGCACTTCAGCAGTTATTGCAATTTTGGAATTTATTTAACTCTCTATGAAAAGAAACACTTTTTATGCAAAGTACTATTAGTTTTTGTTCTGGCTATGATTAACAATACCAATTGTCCGAAATTTCTTTGAAGGCATTTGAAGCTACATGCACTATCCGACACATCGCCTAGATCGAACGAGACATCTGGAGTGTACAGGATGCCAGCATACAAGAAGCGTGATGTATGAGAGGAAATCTTGATGTAGAAATAATTAGTGCAATCTCAAGTTCAGTTGCAAAATGGAGAAATGCTATGTGAATGAAAGATCATGTTGTTTCCCATTTAAGATCTATGTAAGCGCTATTCTGGTCAATAGAATCCAGTTTCAACGACAACTCTTTGCTTCTTCCTTCTCACCCTAGTCCTCTTTATCTTCGACCTCCTTCTCTGGTTCCTGTTTCCCCTCTTCCTCTTCCTTCTTCTTATTTAATCAAACACCATAATTTTATTTCTCTATCACATCCACCTTTATCTAGCTGAATAATCTTTTCTCTGACTTTTTTTTTTTTTTTTTTTTTTTTTTTTTTTTTTTTTTTTTTTTTTTTTTTTTTATATAACATCTTGTTCTCTCCACTAACTACCATGTTACTACTCCCTCTTTTATTTAATAGACTCCCGTCTACGTTATCGTCCCTTTTTTATTTTATATTTTTAAAATTTGATGTATAAGATCAAACATGAGTTCTCTGACATACTGGATGACATATTGCATTATCCTACTTTAATTTCTTCTATAACAGTCAAACTATTATGATTCTATCTATCTATAAATGAAAGAAGCATCTATTTTCACATACTTTTTGTCCCTCAATTGGTGTGTTAAACTGGTAACATCAGCTACTTTATCTAGAATGTCTATGATTATTTCAGCAGTGCTTAAATAGTGCAGAACTCAAAGTAGTCATTGACTAAATATTTTAAAGTAATTGATATATAACATGCAAGAATAAGGATTTCTATCTGTAGTAGAAATTATAGTACTTATTTCAATTATAAACACTCAATGAATAGTAAATCACTGAACTCTTTTTATGCTGTACATGGAAGATGAGCAGCACTTTCAGTTGGAAAAGAACATGAACCACGAGTAAAAGATAAACAGATGTAACACAAGGGTGAAATAGCATCACTGAATTACAAAGATGTTACTATTTCTGAATAATGTAACTATGGAACAATGAATAATTTAGGTAACTGGAAACAATATGTAGTTTCATTTAAACCTTAAGTATTCCCCAAACTCTGTGTGTTAAGAGATTTGATCACACCACTGAGAGATGGGAGACAATTTAGCAGGTGGGCCCTAATTAGGTCACTGAGGATGTGCTCTTAAAGAGGAAAGTGGACACCCAATCTTTACGTCTCCTTTGCTTCCAGCCCAAGAGAGAAGTCATTTTGCACTGCCCTGTTCTTCTGCCATGATGGACTGAAAGTTCCCAACCTGTGAGCCAAAACAAATGTGTTTTGTTTGTTTTTTATCAGAAGCTTATTACTTGGAAAGCTGATACAGAAATGGCGCTGGAATCCCAGCTATTTTCCAGAGAATATGAAAAGGTTTCTGCACCTGGCTCATCTAAAGAGTTTGGAAAACGTTAGGAGAGCAAGCCAGAGGAAGGCTAGAGAGTCTGAAGTGCGGCTTAGTGAGCCACTCTTGTGAAAGCGTAGATGAGAATAGTGATAGCAGTGTGAACAGTGAAGGCTATGGCAACAAAGATTCAAGGGAATTATGCATCACAAACTCTATCAGATGCCATTCTTGTTACTGCTTGGCAAAGAATTTAACCACGTTTTTGTCTGTCTCCTGTTACTGTGGGAGCTTAAAGGGAAAGGACTAGTTTGTCTGTTGAAAGAAATTTTAAGGCAGGTACAGCACTCAGGCTGTATAATGGATATTATTGATGTTTTAAGCAAAATTAAAGGTGAGAATTCAGAAGAAAAAAAACAGAATAGAAATATTTTTAAAATTTGCTATTTATTCCCCAAAGTATCATATATAAAGGTAAGGATGGGGACAATAAGGTTGCTAAAGATATTAGTGCCATTGCAAAGAGGTCAAAAGCTTTGCACCAGGACAATAGGAAAAATGACTTGAAGCCACCTTGAAAATCACCAAGGTTGTAAATCACTCAGAGAAAGAGACACAGAAATGGACAGTTGCTTCAAAGACTTTCCTTTGAGGAGAGAACCTCTACACATCCCAAAACACCTAGGGATGCTCCCCCAGTGTTTGCCAAGGCATGCACAAGGCTTACGGAGCCAGACTCGGACAGACCCAAGTACTCTTCACACCAACAGCAGAAATTGCCACGCTTTGATTCATGTCTGCTTTCACACAAGAGGGCTGAAAGAATTGTGAGGTCGTGGAGGCTTTGATTGAGATTTCTGAGGCAAGTCTGGGAGATCAAGCAGAATCTGAGCTCTGTATCTGACTCCTGAGAGGGTGATGCACGGAAAAGTAAGAGGGAAACTAAAGAAGCAATGGGGACTTCAGGAAGGCAGAGATGTTAGGAATGTGGAGTACCTGCCAAGGGAAGCTGCAGGCTGTATGTAAAACTCATCCCAGAGGAAGGCCCTGTGGGATACAGCCGAGAAACCCATAAGCAAAAGGGTCAACAGAATACGGGAGATCACATCTTGTTCTT